AGTGCAGAAATAAGTGAACCTCTGTTTTTAATCTTTCAAGATTCTTTTCTTTCAGGAAGTTTTCCTGGAGGATTGGAGGAAGGTAGATGTGGTTCCTATATTCAAAAAGGGTTCAAAATCCTTGCCTGGAAATTATAGACCTGTGAGCTTAACTTCTGTGGCTGGTAAAATATTTGAAAGGTTATTAAGGGATAATATTCAAGAATTCGTTGAGAAGAACATGGTTATCAGCAAAAATCAGTATGGTTTTATGAAGCACAGGTCATGTCAAACTAACTTGATTGCGTTCTACGAAGAAGTAAGTAGAAGTATAGATCAGGGTGTTGCCATGGATGTGATCTTTTTGGATTTTGCCAAGGCATTTGATACAGTTCCACACAATAGATTAGTGTTCAAACTCAAGGAAATCGGTCTAGATGAAAATGCTTGTTCTTGGGTAGAACATTGGCTTAAAAACAGAGTACAAAAAGTTGTCATTAATGGTAAATTTTCAAGCTGGACAGAGGTGGCAAGTGGTGTCCCTCAGGGGGTCTGTTCTGGGACCCCTTCTATTTAACATGTTTATAAATGATCTTGAAGACCGCATTGAAAGTCATGTTTCAGTGTTTGCAGATGACACCAAACTTTGTAAAACAATACAATGTGAGCAAGATATTACTTTGCTGCAGAGGGATTTAGATAGACTGGGGGAATGGGCACTCAAATGGCAGATGAAATTTAATGTTGAAAAATGCAAAGTTATGCACTTCGGCGTAAAGAATACACAAGCAATGTAAACCCTTAATGGAAGCGAATTAGGGATAACAACACATGAAAAGGACTTGAGAATTGTTATAGACAACAAACTATGCAACAATGTGCAATGTCAATCAGCAGTGGCCAAGGCCAGTAAGGTATTGTCATGCATGAAAAAGGGCATTCATTCTCGGGACAAGAATATCATTTTGCCGCTTTATAAATCACTGGTAAAACCCCATATTGAATATGCTGTACAATTTTGGGCACCTGTTCTAAAGAAGGATATTATGGCACTAGAAAAAGTGCAGAGGCGGGCTACAAAATTAATAAAAGGAATGGAACATATCAGCTATGAAGAAAGGTTAACAAATTTAAACCTATTTAGTTTAGAAAAGCGTCGCCTGAGAGGGGATGTGATAACATTATACAAATATATTCGGGGCCAATACAAACCATTGTGTGGAAATCTATTCACAAACCGGACTTTACATAGGACACGAGGCCATGCGTTTAGACTGGAAGAAAGAAGATTTTGTCTAAGACAAAGGAAAGGTTTTTTTACTGTAAGAACAATCAGGATGTGGAATTCTCTGCCTGAGGAAGTAGTTTTATCAGAGTCCATACAGATGTTCAAACGGCTACTAGATGCATACTTGCAAGAACAGAATATTCAAGGATATAATCTTTCAATGTAGGGTAATAACTGCTTGATCCAAGGATAAATCTGACTGCCATTCTGGGGTCAAGAAGGAATTTTTTTCCTAGCTTGTTGCAAAATTGTGCTTCAAACTGGTTTTTTTTGCCTTCTTTTGGATCAACAGCAAAAAACAAATGAAGAAGGCTGAACTTGATGGACGCAAGTCTCTTTTCAGCTATGTAACTATGTAACTATGTAACTATGATGATGCTAGTTGCTACAGAGGGTGAGATAGTGACTTCAGAGGGGAACAGTGGCTACAATTGGGAGATAGTGGCATTAGTGGGGGGGATAGTAGCTGTGGCAGAGGATAAAAGCTGTGTTTGACATGAAAGTAACTGTAGTGGGGCGATAGTGGGTATAGGGTGGGTACAGGCTGCAGGGCTGTATTGTGTAGGGGACTAAACATTTCTAATAAAAAATAAATAAAAATAAACTGAAGTTTCTTCTCTCCTCCTAGAGGCTTACCTTGTGCCTGGAAATGGGGAATCCTGATCCCTGATGGTACGATGGGAGATGTTGTTGTCTGCTCCTTGGTGGCCTTACAGCAAATCCGGCCCTGATATTGCAATGGCGTTGCTTATTTTTCTTTTAATTTAACCACAATGGAAACACACATATACACTCCTGGGAATGAAATATAGACTCACTAGGCTCACGCCATCTCTCTTTGTTCACTAGGGTTTAATCACTAGTCTCCTAAATGGAGTGAGTTGAAATGAACATTCCAAAAATAAGAAGAACCAAATAGCTGATCTTTAAAATGTCTCCATTTGAGCTGTAGTAACCGTGGCCATTGGAGCCCAAGTCTTACCATTGGGATTTCAATTTGCATAATTTCGTAGTTTCGTAAATAAACTTAGTAATATGAGCTTCCTGAACATACCGGGGACACATTTTGCAAACATAGGAACATAGAATGTGACGGCAGATAAGAACCATTCGGCCTATCTAGTCTGCCCAATTTTCTAAATACTTTCATTAGTCCCTGGCCTTATCTTATAGTTAGGATAGCCTTATGCCTATCCCACGCATGCTTAAACTCCTTTACTGTCTTGCGGGTCTCCCATCGGTGTGTGAGGGGGAGTATGCTGTGGTTTGGTCTCAGTCGCTTCCCTCTGTGTTTCTACGATACTTCGTGTTTGGTGCCCTGGTGGGTGAGGGCTACCTGTTGTGCTTCTGTGACTCTTGTCGTTTATTGTTTCGTGTCTCCTTAGCCTCTGACCCCCTGTTCAAGACCTCTCTCCGTTCATCTTCCCTGTTCCTTCCGGTGGGAAGTCGTGTATCTATGTTACGTGTCCGTCTATTGTGATTCAGGTGGGTGGGACTGGAACCAGGGACCCTGGCAGGGGTAACGGGAGAGGTGGGATGGGGTTCCAAGGGAAGGGTGGGCTTGGGCGAGAGGGAATGAGAGTGAGAGGCCCAGGGTGGGTTGTCCGGCCCCTATCGCAGCGCCTATACCCCCTCGGATTGTGGTCGGTAGCTGCACGTCTGCCCGCTCTGGACCTTCGCCTGGGGTCCTAGTTGCGGTAGGAAGTGGTCTATGTTATCCCCCTCGAAATGTATGTTCTCCAGGAGTACCATTTTAAGGCGCACTTGTCTGAGTGCTCTTCCCTCTGGAGGGAACTGTGCCTTGTGTCTGCTGCATTACCATGGTCACCCATCGTTTAGGGTGTGGCGTGCATGCCAGTCCAGTTCTGTGCAGGTGTGTGGCTTGGTAGTATGTGATCACCGACGGCAGCCCCATACCTCCTGCTGTCTTCAGTCGTTCCAGGATCGACCTGCGGATGTGTGTCAGTCATTGATTCCACACAAACCTGCGGATAGCTGTCGTTAATGACCGGAAGAATGCCTGTGGGATCGTTGTGGGCAGTGTCGCAAAAAAATACAGCAGTCTTGGTTCATCTTAACTGCATTGATTACGGGCAAACCAAGTGATGTATTGTGTCGACTATTGCTGGAGGTCTTGTTGTAGGGCTGTGAGGAAGGGGAGGAAATTCAGCTGATACAGTCGTGTAAGATCCTTTGGCAGCCAGGTACCCAGGTAGCGCAGTTTTGTCGTGCACCAGGAAAAGGCGAATTGGGCGCTGAGTCGGTTGACAAGCTCCTCATTCTTCATTATCGGCATGGCCTCAGACTTGTCCAGGTTAAGTTTCAGGTTGGATACTTGGCGGTAGTTCTTGAACGCCTGTAGCAGGTTGGGCACAGAGATCATGGGTTGTTCCAAGAAGAAGAGCATGTCGTCTGCGTAAGCCGCCTCTCGGTGCTCTTTAGTGCCCAGGCGTGCCTCCAGGAATGGCTCAAGAGTGAGGGCAAACAGGAGGGGGGCAGGGGACAGCCTTGTCAGGTTAAATTGTGTATTTTAATACTGTTTTAATACTGAAGGGGGGTTAAATTAGACATGGATAACATATATTGGTCAGAAGAACTGTGTCCTCTGCCTGAACAAAGTAAAAAGGCTCCTCAGCTTTTTAAAGATTCTGATCTGATCAACAGCTAATATCACCTACTCTGCTTATTCTTCGTCATCAGTAACTGCCAGTGAGGTTTGAAAACTGTGATGCAATTACAAAATTACTACTTCCACACATCTAGCAGTAATTGAGGCTAAACTTATTAGGGCTTTTTAGATTAATCTGTTTTAAACATTTTAATCAAGAAAGTTCTTGTGCCCCTTATACTTTTACATAATTTAGAATATTTTGAGGAAAAAAATAAAACAGAAGTATTTAAAGGGAAACATGTAGACTTTTCGATCTAAATGCTGCCTTTTCAGAGAAATGTTTACAATGCCATGTTTATATTGCTCCATATGAACACCTCTAGTGCCAGTCATTCAGACAGCAACTAGAGGTGCCTCCCATTCCAATTCTGCACAGAGAACACTACTAGCATTTAGCGTCCAGGGACGTCCCTAGAGCATTTGGCACCCGGGTGGATCCTGTGTATGGCACCCCCCTCACTCCCATCCCCCCCCCCACACACACACACACACTTACTTTAAAATGTAAAAAAACTCACAATTTTAAAAATGTTTTCATTTTAAAAAATTGCACAAATGTGTAAACTATGTATAACCCCTGTCCTGCCCCCTTTTACAAATCCCCTATCCTGCCCGCCATTCTACAAAACGCATGTCCTGCCCTCGTTATACAAAGCCCCTCTACTGCGCCCCTTCTACAAAACCCCTGCAACCCCATTCCGCTACTGCTGAAATTCCGTGAAGATGGAGAAGTGGTGCACATCAACGTTGCGTTGCTCCTCCAAAAAGTGCTGCCTATCTGCAGCCCTTGTGGCTTGCGGTATATTAATGGATGGATCATAGCATAGGCAGTCATGGTACCCCCCTAGTTAGTGGCACCTGGGGCGGACCGCCCTGCCCCACTCTTAGTACACCACTGTATACATATATTGTCAAATACAGCCACATGCACACAGTCCCAGACACATAATCACTCGCACACAGTCACACACACACAGTTCCTGCCAGTCAGTCACACGATAGTCACACACACTGTCACAGTCAGCATCACCCAATCACAGGCACACACACATATTCCCATGTAGACAATCACACATACATCACACACACATAGTCCCATGTAGACAGTCATGCACACAGTTAAAGACAGACAGACAGTCACACACACACACACACACACATAGGCACAGGCAGTCACACACACACACAGTCACAGGCAGGCAGTGACACACACAGTCACAGGCAGACAGAGACACACACACACACACAGTCTTAGGCAGTCACACACACACACAATCACAGGCAGTCAGTGACACACACACATACACACACACAAACACACACACAGTTACAGGCAGACAGTCACACACACACAGACAGTTACAGGCAGACAGTCACTCACACACACACACACACACACAGTTACGGCAGATAATCACACACACACACACACACACACACACACACAGATACAGGCAGACAGTCAGTCACGCACACAGGTACAGGCAGTCACACACACACACACAGTTACAGGCAGACAATCACACACACAAACAGTTACAGGCAGACAATCACACACACAGACACACACACAGTTACAGGCAGAAAGACGCACACACACATACACACAGTTACAGGCAGACACACACACAGTTACGGGCAGTCATACACACAGTTAAAGGCAGACAGCCATACACAAACACACACACAGTTACAGGCAGTCACACACAGTTACAGGCAGGCAGTCACATACACAAACAAACACACACAGATAAACAGACACACCCACACACAGTTACAACAGACAGTCTCCCTCACACACACACATACAGTTACAGACAGACAGTCATACACACACAAACACACAAACACTCTCTCTCTCACTCACAGTCAGCTTGGGCTGGAGGAGGAGTGAATTCAGTTCCTGTAGTTGTTGGGGAAGCAGGGTCTCCATCCTGCTTCCCCTCGATGTGCAGTAGTAATAGCAGTGAGTGGAGGGCGTGCGTAGTTCTGCCCTGCTGCCAATTAGGCTCCACCCCTGTTGAAAATTAGCCCCACCCCTGTTGCAAATTAGCCCCACCTCCAATTTTCTTACTTGCGGCGGTTTTGAAATTTTACGTCTGCCTGTCCCTGCGTGTGTGAGCTGTGCGGCTGCCATGGCAACCTGTCCCTGCCGCACAGCTCAGACATCCTAAGGCCGCTGGGGTCAGGGCACCCCTTAGAGAGTCGCACCCGGTACGTCACTGTTAGCGTCTCCACGCTTTGCGGAATGTTCTCCAAAGAGATGCATTGATTCATGATGATTGATAAGGAGATGCTCATTGGCTCAGAGTTTTACCACACATGCAATAGAAAAGCATTGGATTAGCTGAGATCATCAAAGTGGATGATCTCAGTCATGGAGGCAGACTCAGCTGCACCCAACTCCACCCAAGAGCAGAGTCGAGGAGTCATGGACCCCCAGGACCTCCGGGCTCGTGACACCTGTCACTGTTGTCACTCCCTGATGTCAGCCTTGTTCCCAATGCAGATCAATGAGAAGTCATGGACCCCCAGGACCGCTGGGCCTGTGACAACTGTCACTGTTGTCACACCCTGATGTCAGCCCTGTTCCCAACGTAGATCAACGAGAAGTCATGGACCCCCAGGACCGCTGGGCCCGTGACAACTGTCACTGTTGTCACACCCTGATGTCAGCCCTGTTCCCAGTGCAGATCAACGAGAAGTCTTTGCAAGTCAGATGCTCTGGGCAATTGCTGCCTCTTAAGTTCAGCTCAAGTGATCTAAACAACTAGAAAGAAACAGGACCTGCTGTCTGCTTGAAAGGCAGGGGGTGTAACAAGATTAGCGTATAAAGGTGAAATCTGCATTTTTTGTTAAGTGAAAAAGAAAAAAAATACACAAACTGCTTTAGTTGTTTGGAGTGTTCCTTTAAACAATTAGCCCCTAATAAACATTATTATTTAAGGTTTCCCCTCTCGATCACTACATAAATAGTTTTAATTACCTTAATCCAGCACCAGGCAAAGCTCCTGCCACTACTTCCAAAGACCCCATTCCGCCGTCACGGCAGCCGATGCCCGATCGAATCAAAGGCTTCTCTTAGAGAAGGCTTCGATTGGGCCATTTAGCCATATGCACGCACTCTGGAGGGAAGAGGATGGAAGGGTGAGTGAGGATATTTTTTTTTAAACTGCACGGAGGGGATAGGGAGGTGGGAGGGCTGCTGAAATACTTCCTGGCTTGGTTAGCTCAGTGGAGCCAAGCTTAAGAGACAGGCAATTGCCCAGAGCTTGCATAGACTTCACAATGAGCTGCATTGGGAAGTCTATGACTGGACAGCCACAGAAAATCTGGGCGGGGTTAGAAGTAGAGGGCTTGCAAAGGCTTCAGACAAGAGAACTACATCTTTTGCAAGCTGCTTTTAAATATACCTCTGATGAAAAATGCATAATTAAATGCATGCATGTTTTCATTGGGGGTATATCTACTAAACCGTGAGATTTATTTATTTTGGTATTTGGGCAGTGGAGTGTCCCTTTAAGAATTTTCTGCAGGCACTCATGTTATAAATACGGGTCTCAAACTAACCTATCATACTCTTTTACTCCAGCAATGCTGTTGATTCCCCTCACCTGCTGAATTAGCAAGGATTTTCCACAGACACCCCTAGATGCAACCACTACAATCTACTGTTTCAGCAATCCCCCTTCCCTTCCTTTTTTAGAAGCTATTACATTGCTAAACAGTGAGCAGATGTGCACTGTATCTTTATATCAATATTTATAATGCTGTAACTTTGTATATCTTCTGACAAAATAAATGTAATTAATTTTTTTTTTTTTTAAACTATAGAAAAGATGGTTTGTTCTCGTCTCCATTTAGTCAAAATTCGTAATGAGCCGCTAAATAAAACAGGTGTTATATCATTATACTTTTATATCAAATCCATCCGTATAACAGAAGTGGGCAGGAAAGAGGTGCTATCCTGTACCTTAAAATCTTATGTGAGCAAACTCCGATCCTTCTCATGCTCTGCTGTAATTTGAAAATAGGTACAAAATATGATGTCATGCTCCTGTTGAGGATTTAGCATTGAGAAAGCTGTGCTGTTGGGTGCACACACTTTATAAGTCGGAACTGCCCCTTAAAATTCATAGTTACACTAGTTGCATAACCAGTTCAACATAACAAACAATAGACAATAGAATAATCTCACATCCCTCACTCTATATGCTAGATTGCGTGCCAAGCGGAACAAATACCTCCCCCCCTATTTATTATACACCTAGTCATCACAAATGCTGTTGTCACAGGAACATATGTGTAGTTCATATTGTCGTTTTGTAATCTATAAGCAACCGATATCTGCTCCTACAATCAAAATACAAAAAAACATAAACAACTAAACACTAGAATCCTGACAAGTTATCTTAAAAATATCAAGTTAGAAAAAGTAATGTAGAAATATTTATGCTGTGGATTATGTATATTTTATAGATATTCATACAGTGTGATTTTTCTATATTAAAAAAGAAGGGATTGGTGGTTTATGGGAGACAAGGAGTGGGATGGAAATGCTATGTGTGTTACCACAGGAAATTATGTCAGGGGAGTGGTGAAATGTCACCATGAAAAGTTGCTATGGGAACCAACTGTCCCTGATCCCTCGCTAACTCCCCACCTCCTCCTACTGCTGCCATCATAGTGGCTGCCTGGATCACTGTAACCATAGAGACAGACTGGTTAAGCAGGAATGTTGGGAGATGTAGGCGTGTAGGAGTATTTTAATGGAGAGGTTTAGGATAGGAAAATAAAGGGAGTGGAATAAAAAACAGGATAATATGAGGGGGTTAGGAGGAAGGACAAAAAGCCTAAAGGAGAAAATGGATGGAGACAAATCCCCCCAGAAAAATACGGGAAGGAAAAGGAAAAGGAAGGAGACAGTGTTACAATGTATTAGAATAGAGAAGAGGAAGAGAAATGCACAATTTTAAAGGTTAGAAAAGATGCAAAATATGGCCCGCTGCATTTATAGGAACCCTGGTTCAAAGCGTATTTCTGAGTCTCTAAGGAGGGGAGAAAGCTGCTGCCAGGATCCACTCTGGTTTATAAAGCTTCCTAAAATAGCCTTATAAAGAAAGCTTAAGTCAGGCCTGCCAGTGGGAGGGCAGATGGTATCCATATACGGAGGAAGCAGGAGCAGCTCTTTGCACCAAATATTGTTTTTCCATTCTCTCTGTCTGTTTCCTTTTATATATATATATATTTTCTTTTTATTTGATTTTTTTGCAAAACTGTATGTGAAAATCTTTCTACCCTGCCATGAGTTCCTCATAAATAACATATAATTATTTTCAGTGGAGAAGTAAGCAAGCATTGCTGTACTCACGCCATACACATTTGCAGTGGAAATGATGACATTATTTATAGCAATGCAGTAATGCTGCTGCTTTCATAAGAACACGGAAGCTTTCAGTAGCCTTGAATAAGTACAGCAATATGGAATCAAATAAGCTACTTATAAAAAGTCTTTGTGTCTCGTCCTCTATCATCTTAAATGTGCCGTCTCACAACAAAAAAAGCAAACACTGACATACAGTTTACTGAACGACATCCACCTACAGAGAAGCAGGTTTTTGTTTTTTTACCATTTACTGATCTCTAGTCTTCCGTAAAAGGAATTAAACAGGAACAGAAAAGGAGAAGTAGTTGGATACAGCTTCCTTTTAGTAAAATAAAACAGTTATTTATTTTCCGAGAAGCCACGGTATGCTGGGCTAATGGCAAAGAGTGTAACACCAATTCTGCTCACTGCATACCAACCTTTAGCTGACACTGGCATACAGTGTAATATCCTGAAACATGCCGCCCGTCTGTTGTGCTCCTGTATGTCAAGCATAAGCAGGAAACAAGGCCCGATGTACAGTCAGGCCCATGTTCCAGGTTGTGTTGTTATTTATTTTTCGTGGGCAGGAGGGCTCCATGTATGTGAGCCTCCTACTTTGCCACTGATATCTCAAGTTTTTAAGTGCAGAAAGGCCAAAAGCAAAAAAAACATTATTATACTTACTTTATAAAGAGCCAACACAGTCCACAGAGCTGTATATGGGTACAATTACTATAAGTAAAAACAAGAAATGTACAACACATTTGAGATAATACATAATTTGACAAACAAATTCAGGAGGAGTAAAATGCCCTATTCATATGGGAGCTTACAGTCTAAATAATTGTGGTGCTGTGGACAGAGATCAAAGTAGTGGGCACAATTACTATAGCTAACTGCGCTGTTTATATGGTAACATTTATGCAGGTAATGGGCTGTTGTGTCATGCTGTCTAATGTGAGGCTGCATGTTGAGGGACCAGGAGCGAAGGCTGTGTGTGTCTATGAATGTGTGCTAGTGGTTTCATGTATGTGTATTAACTTGTGTCTCTTGTTGTTTGTTAGCAGGTGTCTATGTATATATGCTTGTGTTGGGTTATATGTTAGTGTGATACAAATTATGTCGGGATATCTGGAAAGTAATATCGATGTGTCTACTCCTGTGTGTCAATGTATGGGACACAAAATTGCATTGCCCAGAAACCTGCAAATGGCATTGATGGCCTTATTATCAAATCTTTAAATAACTAATATTCTCTAACAATATAAACTAAAAAATAAACAGATATAATTTCTGTAACTTTACTGTACAATGGCTTGGAGATGAAATATCACATAGACCTGTGTACAGGGAGTGCAGAATTATTAGGCAAGTTGTATTTTTGAGGATTAATTTTATTATTGAACAACAACCATGTTCTCAATGAACCCAAAAAACTCATTAATATCAAAGCTGAATATTTTTGGAAGTAGTTTTTAGTTTGTTTTTAGTTATAGCTATGTTAGGGGGATATCTGTGTGTGCAGGTGACTATTACTGTGCATAATTATTAGGCAACTTAACAAAAAACTAATATATACCCATTTCAATTATTTATTATTACCAGTGAAACCAATATAACATCTCAACATTCACAAATATACATTTCTGACATTCAAAAACAAAACAAAAACAAATCAGTGACCAATATAGCCACCTTTCTTTGCAAGGACACTCAAAAGCCTGCCATCCATGGATTCTGTCAGTGTTTTGATCTGTTCACCATCAACATTGCGTGCAGCAGCAACCACAGCCTCCCAGACACTGTTCAGAGAGGTGTACTGTTTTCCCTCCTTGTAAATCTCACATTTGATGATGGACCACAGGTTCTCAATGGGGTTCAGATCAGGTGAACAAGGAGGCCATGTCATTAGATTTTCTTCTTTTATACCCTTTCTTGCCAGCCACGCTGTGGAGTACTTGGACGCGTGTGATGGAGCATTGTCCTGCATGAAAATCATGTTTTTCTTGAAGGATGCAGACTTCTTCCTGTACCACTGCTTGAAGAAGGTGTCTTCCAGGAACTGGCAGTATGGGAGTTGAGCTTGACTCCATCCTCAACCCGAAAAGGCCCCACAAGCTCATCTTTGATGATACCAGCCCAAACCAGTACTCCACCTCCACCTTGCTGGCGTCTGAGTCGGACTGGAGCTCTCTGCCCTTCCAATCCAGCCACGGGCCCATCCATCTGGCCCATCAAGACTCACTCTCATTTCATCAGTCCATAAAACCTTAGAAAAATCAGTCTTGAGATATTTCTTGGCCCAGTCTTGGCTTTCAGCTTGTGTGTCTTGTTCAGTGGTGGTCCTTTCAGGCCATGTCTCTGAGTATTGCACACCTTGTGCTTTTGGGCACTCCAGTGATGTTGCAGCTCTGAAATATGGCCAAACTGGTGGCAAGTGGCATCGTGGCAGCTGCACGCTTGACTTTTCTCAGTTCATGGGCAGTTATTTTGCGCCTTGGTTTTTCCACACGCTTCTTGCGACCCTGTTGACTATTTTGAATGAAACGCTTGATTGTTCGATGATCACGCTTCAGAAGCTTTGCAATTTTAAGAGTGCTGCATCCCTCTGCAAGATATCTCACTATTTTTGACTTTTCTGAGCCTGTCAAGTCCTTCTTTTGACCCATTTTGCCAAAGGAAAGGAAGTTGCCTAATAATTATGCACACCTGATATAGGGTGTTGATGTCATTAGACCACACCCCTTCTCATTACAGAGATGTACATCACCTAATATGCTTAATTGGTAGTAGGCTTTCGAGCCTATACAGCTTGGAGTAAGACAACATGCATAAAGAGGATGATGTGGTCAAAATACTCATTTGCCTAATAATTCTGCACTCCCTGTATTGATGTATATATCTACTATGCTAATATCTGTCTATGGATGCACGTGTGTGTGTATCTATGTTTATGTCTTCTTTCATGTTCATGGCCCAACACAGACAGAAGTGAGCCCACATTGATAGATGATTGGTTTATCAGATATATATGTTTGCACTGGGAGTCACTGAATTGTTGAACAAATACATGCACTACCCCTGAAATCCAGGTCCCCAAAGAAATTTTGAAAATGTGTTTTTGATTATAGACATATTAACAGCATTGCATGCTAACTATGGAAATATGTCCAGGTCAGAAGGGGCAATTCCAGAGACTCCAAAGGCCATATCAGCTTCCACCTTCAACAAAATGTTTACGCTGCATGGGCTAAGGCACTGGCCACGTTTCACATGCTCATTTCCATGACAGCCTTGTGGTTCCAAAACCTGAGGAATCATTATATAAATATCTCACTGTGGCTTTTTTGGGGCTGGGTACACAATCAAATCAAACTCTGAATCTTTGTTACTGTTTCTGTATGTGTCTACACTCAGGCTGTCTCCTCCTTTCCTTTCTCACTCCCTCTGTGCCTGTCTCCTTCTTTTGTCCCTGCCTCCCTCTGTGCCTGTCACTGTCAGTCTCTCTTGTGCCTCTTCTTAGTAGCCGATTTACAATATATTTTCCTCTGTGTGAGGCCATCTTTAGCCATTTGCCTCTCCTGTTCTGATTCTGTCCCAATTTCTCTGGTGGTGACTCACTGTCAGTCTAATTAACCCCAAAGCTCTTACTGGGGTCTATAGGCCTCTGCCTCTCAATTTGCATCTTTGCTGCTCTGACGGTCTTGAGAAATACCATATAAGATTCTGGCACTAATGAACTTGAAAAGCAAGCTAGGTTGACTATTCTATACATGTTTGCAATGTCATGTCCTCTTATCCGCTAATATTGTTTTTTCTCTCATAATAATTTTTTTCTTTCTTAAGTTCGCCCTTTGTCTAGCATAAAAATCATGTTACCAAATACATATATAATAGTAATGTGGTTTCATAGGCATTTCTGCTAAACTGTGTTTTATGTTTTTCTTTTGTTTGTTTTTTCAACCATTTTTAAAGAATACCAGCATGCAGCAAAAGTATAATAATAGTTATCATGCACAAAATAAACTGCGACTGTGCCTTCTAAACTGCGACTGTGCCTTCAATTTTAATACTTCAGAGACATGCTATGCATCAAAATGTAGGTCTGGGTCTTGTGATTCTCACAATATAAAGCTCTTCGCTGTAGGATTTATAGTTTTTAAAATATGACCGTTTGAAGATGGCAACCGCCAAAATACTCTGACCTGTCAAGGCTGCAGCAGCAAGTGATGTCATAGACAGGGCCTTTTGAACACCTGCTAATGTTTTATAAATGTATGGTTTAATGTAACTGTGCAACAACGTTGCAATTGAATGTGCTATGTAAATGATAACAGTTACTCCGCCCACTCCAGTTGTAGACTACTGGTGGAGGCAAGAACACTTCACACAATTTCCCCAGAAATTGTAGCTTTTCTAGTTCTTATTCTTATTATAGCAAAATTTGCCACCCTAACTCCTCCCACAGTTTTTACACTACATAGACAGAAATATACCGAAACGTGCGGATTGTTCCCGATTGGATTGCTATTACTTTGTGGAACGTTTCGCCGAATGGTTCACGGAATATCGTCGTTCTTGTGGCGAAATTGGTCCCATAGGAATGAATGGCAAAATGTTCAAAACTAGAGTGGGAGCTGGCAAAAGCTGAAAAATCAGGCATGATTTCTAAACTGCCACCACTCCCTCATTTTCAAGCCCACCTACACAAATCTTATATTAAAACGTTCAGCTATCCCTGCTGCCACTAGAAAATGTCCACGGCTAAGCCATAGTCCTGGTAGTTTTCACAATATGACCATTTGTTTGCAACTCACGCCGTCCGTTGACATTCATTGAAACTCCACTCTAGCCAGTTCAAATTTGAAGGGCAATTTCTAAACTGCGACTGTGCCTTCATTGTTACTATTTCAGTGGCATACTATGCATCAAAATGTAGGTCTGGGTCTTGTGATTCTCACAATATAAAGCTCTTTGCTGTAGGATGTATAGTTTTTAAAATACGACCGTTTGAAGATGGCAACCACCAAAATACTCTGACCTGTGCCAGGCTGGAGCAGCAAGTGATGTCATAGCCAGGGCCTTTTTACAGCTAATGTTTTTATAAATGTATGTTTTAACCCCTTAAGGACCGAGGACGGTTCAGGACCGTCATCGGCATTTTTGCCTTGCCGACCGATGACGGTCCTGAACCGTCCAAACGGTCTGGGGCTACTTACCTGATCGCCGTCGTTCCCCCGGCGGCGATCAGTGTTCCTCCGGTTGTGGGGAGACTGCCTGCAGCCCAGACAGTCTCCCCACGGCAGATTAGGACCCCTGTGGCCATGTGATCGCTTAACACAGCGATCACATGGTCACAATAGGTGTCCATAGTGCTGCCTGCAGGGGGACTGCCTGTACTGACAGGCAGTCTCCCTGCAACTGTAAAATCAGAAAAAAAAATAAAGTTAATGGTAATAAAAAAATAAAATAATTATATATGTATAAATATGATATATAGACATATATTATATCTATATAATATATGTCTATATATCATATATATATAATGTCATACTAAGTGTATTTTTATATTAATATGTACTTATATTAATATAAAAATACACTTATAATTAAATTACACACGTATATATATAATATATATAATAACTATATATATTGTATATATATATTATTATAAAATATAACTAATAAGTAATTTAAATTAAATAATTTTTTTTAAATAATAATAAAAAATTTAAAAAAAATTATATAGCTATATGAAATTTTATTCTAACTGTATTTTAAAATTAATATATATATATTTATATCAAAATACACTTAGAATGAATTTGTATATATATCTATGTATATAAAAATAAATAAAAATAATAAGAAATATACATACGTCCATATACAAAATTACATAAATAATTATATAAATATACACGTAGACTTCAAATATATAAATATGCATATATATTTAAATTCTACGTGCGTATTTATGTAATATTTTTACATAATTCAGTAATTTTATTGATTGCAATTTGAGGGACCTGCCTGCCAACCCAGGCCGAAATTCCAGAGAATTTAATTTGCTAGCACTGTATTTTACCCTGTAACGTTCTACGACACCCTAAAACCTGTACATGGGGGGTACTGTTTTACTCGGGAGACTTCGCTGAACACAAATATTAGTGATTCACAACAGTAAAACATATCACAGCGATGATATTGTCAGTGAAAGTTACTTTTTTTGCATTTTTCACACACAAACAGCACTTTTACTGATGATATAATTGTTGTGATACGTTTTCCAGTTTTTAAACACTAATATTTGTGTTCAGCGATGTCTCCCGAGTAAAACAGTACCCCCCATGTACAGGTTTTATAGCATTTTTGAAAGTTACAAGGTCAAATATATGGGTCAAATATTTTACATTGAAAATGGCCAGGTTGGTTACGTTGCCTTTGAGAGCGTATGGTAGCCCAGGAATGAGAATTACCCCCATGATGGCATACCATTTGCAAAAGACAACCCAAGGTATTGCAAATGGGGTATGTCCAGTCTTTTTTAGTAACCACTTGGTCACAAACACTGGCCAAAATTAGCGTTCAATTTAGTTTTTTTACTTTTTTCACACACAAACAAATATGAATGCTTACTTTGGCCAGTGTTTTCGACTAAGTGGCTACTAAAAAAGACTGGACATACCCCATATTGAATACCCTGGGTTGTCTACTTTAAAAAAAATATGTACATGTGGGGTGTTATTCAGAGATTTATGACAGATAATAGTGTTACAATGTCACTATTGATAAATTTTAAAAATGTATGTTTTGAAACCGCAATATCCTACTTGTACCTATAGCCCTATAACATGCAAAAAAAGCAAAAAAGCACGTAAACACTGGGTATTTTTAAACTCAGGACAAAATTTTGAATCTATTTAGCAGTTTTTTTCATTCGCTTTTGTAGATGAGTAAAAGATTTTTCAAGTAAAAGTCAAAAAACATGTATTTTTTTCAATTTTTCATCATATTTTTTTATTTTTTTTAAATTAAAATACATGAGATTATATAAATAATGGTATGTAAAGAAAGCCCCTTTTGTCCTGAAAAAAACAATATATAATTTGTATGGGAACAGTAAATGAGAGAGCGGAAAATTACAGCCAAACACAAACACCACAAAAGTGTAAAAATATTCCTGGTCGCAAATGTACAACATCGCAAAAACAGTCCAGTCCTTAAGGGGTTAATGTAACTGTGCAACAACATTTCAATTAAATGTGCTATGTAAATGATAACAGTTACTCCGCCCACTCCAGTTGTAGACTACAGGTGGAGGCAAGAACACTTCACACAATTTCCCCAGAAATTGTAGCTTTTCTAGTTATTATTATTCTTATTATAGCAAAATTTGCCACCCTAACTCCTCCCACAGTTTTTACACTACATAGACAGAAATATACCGAAATGTGCGGATTGTTCCCGATTGGATTGCTATTACTTTGTGGAACGTTTCGCCGAATGGTTCACGGAATATCGTCGTTCTTGTGGCGAAATTGGTCCCATAGGAATGAATGGCAAAATGTTCAAAACTAGAGTGGGAGCTGGCAAAAGCTGAAAAATCAGGCATGATTTCTAAACTGCCACCACTCCCTCATTTTCAAGCCCACCTACACAAATCTTATATTAAAACGTTCAGCTATCCCTGCTGCCACTAGAAAATGTCCACGGCTAAGCCATAGTCCTGGTAGTTTTCACAATATGACCATTTGTTTGCAACTCACGCCGTCCGTTGACATTCATTGAAACTCCACTCTAGCCAGTTCAAATTTGAAGGGCAATTTCTAAACTGCGACTGTGCCTTCATTGTTACTATTTCAGTGGCATACTATGCATCAAAATGTAGGTCTGGGTCTTGTGATTCTCACAATATAAAGCTCTTTGCTGTAGGATGTATAGTTTTTAAAATACGACCGTTTGAAGATGGCAACCACCAAAATACTCTGACCTGTGCCAGGCTGGAGCAGCAAGTGATGTCATAGCCAGGGCCTTTTTACAGCTAATGTTTTTATAAATGTATGTTTTAATGTAACTGTGAAGCACTTTGGGCAACAACGTTGCAATTAAATGTGCTATATAAATAAATAATAACAGTTACTCCGCCCACTCCAGTTGTAGACTACCGGTGGAGGCAAGAACACTTCACACAATTTCCCCAGAAATTGTAGCTCAAATTTGAAGGGCAATTTCTAAACTGCGACTGTGCCTTCATTTTTAATATTTCAGAGACATACTATGCATCAAAATGTAGGTCTGGGTCTTGTGATTCTCGCTGTAGGATTTTTAAAATACGATTGTTAGAAGATGGCAACCGCCAAGCATTCAGACAAATGAGGTTTGCTGTTGGCTGGAATGCTACAAATGAAGAGACATATGTGCCATGTTTAGTGTATTACTAAACACTTATGAAGAGAAATATATCGTCCCAAGGGCATATATACTGAATTTCATGCCTACTGCACCACCCTCTATAATTTGTAAATTTTCTTACTCAACAACACAAATAGCTGGTAGGACTGAAAAGATTAGACAGTTTCTAGACAGGGGTGTCTCCTGTCCCATCTCTTGTTTTTTCTTTTCTTGGAGCTGTTTCTGGAGGCAATACGGCAATGAGAAGGGATATTTAAATTCACAGGGCGGCGGTAGACACGCAAAGTAGCAGAACTTACTGTTCTTTGTGACACAACCAAAAATTTAAATCTTGAATATATTAGAAGAGTTCTCACTCTAGAGCTTTCAAGTTGTGCCAGGCAGGAGAACACTAAGATAGAGGCAGTTTAACCACCATCTAGAAGCTTATTTTGAATGTAGTAAAACCCCCACCCCTGCTGTTCACTGCCGTTTGGGAGGAGGACTTCCGGAAGTCATTTTCTGGTAGGCAGTGGGATAATATGTTTCTGTTGGCCCATAAATCCTCATTAGATGCCAAGGCCCAAGAAATGAACAACAAATTGGTTACTAGATGGTATAGGGCCCCAGTACTCCTGAACAAATTCAACTCATCAGTATTGAGGGCTATCTGGCAATGTCAGGACGAAGAAGGAACCTTACTGCACATCTGGTAGAACTGCACACAAATTGCACCTTACTGGTGTGGAGTGTTGATCATTATTTAATGTGTAGTTTGCAATATATATATGTATTATATGGTATGGTGCATATATGTATCTAATATGAATGTACATTTAGCTGTATAACATAGGTGTATGAAATATTGCAGGCCTTTTTGCTTAGATTTGAAAAAGTTAAATTTTCAATGACATTTCCACAAGGTTAACAGCTAAAAGGTTGAAGTTAAATTAGAACAAACACATGTGTTGTCAGTCAAATGTATACAAAACACTTCACTTAATTTTGAAGCTAACTATAGGCAGAGCCATCTAGGTTATATCCCAAACTTAGATATTCAATACATTACATCACGCAACAAGTTAGAAAACCTTTTTGGGAGTATTACACAGGTGGGGGCTGCATAATGGAGGACAAAATGGCTATTTAACTGAAGGAGAAAGAGTGTAACGTTGTCATTCACCATTCATTCATTCATCCATCTACTCTTACTCTGCCTGCTGTCACCACACATCTGAAAGGTATACAGGGACATATGCTGTAGCCACTAATACATTTGGTAAGATTAATTATTTACTGACTATTTTTGCATTCTGTAACATTCATTCAATACACTTTTATCTTATATTTATTTGAGTCATTGTTTCATTTATTACAATATTATTACAGTGCCTTTTGGGTCTTCAGACACTGGATTATTTTAGTGATAGTCAAGTTATCATCTAGAATGGTTAAGGAAAACAGTATTTATAAGTAATTTGGGAATGGAAGGGTCTGCTCCGTATACAGCTATAGATTGCATAAAGACACACTAAGCTTAGAATGACCCGGAGTGACCTTTTGTCGGTAAAGGTCCACATCATACCTGAAGCGAGCCATAACTATCAATATTGAAGGATCACCGAAAACCGACAACTGGAGATTAGTTCAGTGAGAGAGAACCAAAATAATTGGGGAAGCACCACCCTTCAACTCAGATTATATGCTGCTGCACCACACAACCCAATAAGGCAACATGGTAGTACAGGTTGGTGGGTGAGTGGGTGGGTGGGAGACTCTTTTATTAACTCACTCAAATACCTACATAACCCCTCTCACCCCCACCTTTTTTTCTCCTCTCTTTGTACCCCCTCTCTACCCAACCAACTTCTTAACATAAATTCCCCTAACTCCAATCATGTTGGTGGCATGTTCATAGTCCAGCAGATAAACAGATAACAGCCTATACCAGGTTTCACATATTAGAAAGAAACCACAAATTTTCTATTCACACCACTGAATGGGCATAACCAAACTGTAATTTTACACTAAGCAACTTGCTAAAATGTGATTATCCATGTTTCTTATCCTTCTTTCTAATCAGAACTTATGTCTTTGTACTTTGTAACATAAAACTTGATAAACAGAGATTGTAAAAAAAGAAAAAGAAAAGAAAGAAGAATTAATAAAAGTGGGGGGCAGGACCTGACAGCCAAAATGGCTGGGCGTACTTTGGAGCAGCTCCAGCATAGATGGGCATAAAACAAGCATTTTTCCGACTGAATGTGCATCAAATGCTATTCTGTGCACTCTGTGCACCGATCAGTAACGAGTGGGGACATGGAGAAACTTGTTTCACGCCATTTGCCAAGAATCTACACTGTCCAGCCTTGTGGCCTGACATACCTTGAGGCCTGATGTCTGGGGGAGGCAGGACACAATATTCTGTGCAAATTGGCCCAACATACGCAGGAGCCTGACACAAGGGAGCAGAGCGATGAAACACCCCTGACGGGCCGCGATGGGCACAAAATGGCCGCCAGACCATTTACCCGCTGCAGTCTAGGTTCTGCCTCCCCTAATGCCCCTCGGACCCACATTAAAGTTGGAATTGCCCTTTCGTCTTCTGGGCCAGGGCACCCATTTTGAATTTTTTTTTTACAATCTTTATATGAAGAAGTTGTCGACAACAGTAATTAAAGCAAGAGGTAAACTGCCATAAAAGTACATTCTCAACACTTCCATTTGAAATTCTATCCAACCCCCATCCATACACCCAGAGGAGGGGCATCCGGGATTCAGAGCTCCCAAGGGTCCACGGTCTTACTGCACACAGCAGGGGAAACCATGGACACAGGGAAAAAACTTCCATTCAAACCTGGACTCGAAGATCTGTGCAGCTGCCGCAATACAACAAAATTTTATAATTTTATAATTACAAGGTATATTTGTTTGCCATTGACGTCTGTACAAATTAATTTATTGTCTCTGCCTAGGTACTACTTAGCCTACATGCTTACTCGATGTTAGGGTTCATTCACGTTAAAATCTTTGTTTGTCAACCGTATGGATTAATATTTTAATATTCTGTTTTTATTTTCACAAAAGTTATCTACAAATAAAATATAAACAATACATATCGCTGTGTTTTTTAAATGTATTATTATAAGAAAACCACTCACAAAATCATTAGCTGAGTGGCTAAAGTGCCACTCAAACTATATCATCCAGGGAGAATTAAATCCTTTGGGTGCAATAGTTCCCAACTCCTAAAATGCACGTCCAGAACAGGAAATCACTTTCAATATTTTCAAATCTTAGTTACAACAATTTAAACTGTTAAAAAGAACTAGTACTATTGGCAATGGGCACCAGAAATGAACATCTGGTGGATCCTGACAAAAATGAATTAGCAAAGTGAACATCTAGAGGTAATTATAAGTATATAACTCTATTCCAGGGCTCCTGCCAAGAGATAGGATTTAAGCATAAAAGGTAAAGTGTTATAAAGATCAGTAAAGGGGAAAAAAGAGATCAGGGGGTGTTAAAATGAGGACTCTGTGTGCAAATCAGGTTATGTGTACACAGAGAAATTACAGCTGAAACACAAGGCTTTATTTACTAAGCCCAGAGCTTTAGCTGCCAGGTTAAGTAGCTGAAATTCTTGGCACACATAATACTTACTATTTGTAGAGCTGTACTAATACCCGCCTGACATTAATGTAGCAATGATTGGGCATGGGCGAGGGGGGGGGTCCTTGCTTTGAGAACTATCTTACACATAAAAATTCACACATATATTTCCAGCAGGAGATATAGCTATTTCAATGGCTATGGATTTGAGATTAGGGCTTACATAACCACAAGTCACTTTACTGTACTCTCTCAGTCAATAAGGACTCTGGAAAACCACTAAAGCAAGGTACAAATTCCTGCAGATCTCTCAAGAATTTTATGGATAAATGTGTCTGGGGTGTAAGAATATATAAATAATTATCCTATATCTGGAAAACAACAAACAAAAAAAAACCCAAGCACAATTCTGCTTGTTTCTTGAGAAAGTGTTATGAAGTAATATTATGCATTGTACAGCCCCTTGAGTACATATACAGTGTGGTTTCCTCAGAATGGCTGTATACAAGTTAAAAAGATTATGCCATGTCACAATGTGCAGAACTGCCACAGGAAGCACTCTTAGTGGCCGCCTGATTGACTGCCACTAGAGGTGTTACTAGGCAGCAATGTAAACACTGCCTTTTCTCTTAAAAGCCTGTAGGGGCAGGCTACAGACATTAAGCTGTAGTGGTTCTGGTGACTTAAGTGCCCCTTTAAATTCAATTGGAGTTCTTACCATTAGTTTTACACAACATACCTAACACAGTTTAAATGTGTTTATTGGGTAATTAACACGGCACAATACTTGTAAGAACCACCTATGTCTACTTTAGAATTATGAGTTGTGTGTTTGGCTCCATCCCTAGTGCTCCAATCATGATGAAATGTACCATGATGAAAAGCATCTCCACAACATTTTTTTTTACTACTTGGAAACATGTTTTATTAGGTATATTTGATAAAGCCAGAAATGAAGTGATTAAAACATAAGATCAAACAAAAAATGAAGTGAACAAATTCAAATAGAAGACAGAAAAACAAGCTATCTCAAGCCTCACAAAAAAGAACTGATACAGTTAATCTCAACAATTGATGAAGGCATCAGGAAAGAGGTCATAGGAGTAACCAGCAGCAGATCAATGAAAGGAAATGCCTAATCTCGTCAACACTAAAAACACTCATTTGTCCTTAACTTCATATTTATTTTTTGCTAAGCTTTAAAAAAATGTTTAGCGCCTCTGGCGTCCATTTTGCTTTTTGGCTCTTTTCGCACTTGGATCAAATCCCGAGTGCGCATTTGGCCATATTCGTTTTGCCCCAGGTTCGGCAGGCTTGTGTTCCCAGAGCGCAGTTCGAGCTGGTACTGCGTTTGGTGGCCCTTTTTAGAGTGTTTTTTCCAGCCTTTTCTCTGGACTGCCTTCTCTTCCCCCCCGGTCGAAGTTAGTGTCCAGGATTAGTTAGTGGTGGACGGCTCCCTGTTTACTGTGCTCCCCCTTCCTTTTCTTAAGTGAATTTATGAGTACTTGTACTTGAAAATGTTATTTCTGTGGATTACTTAACCCTGTTTTCAGCCTTTTCATATAAACAAATTGTTCTTGCAATTTGTTTCTCTAAATAGTTTCACTATGCAATCATCAAATGATTTGCCTGGGCCCTCTGGGGCATAAACTGATCCCCAAGCTCCCCTGGGCTTTCCCCCTATGGTTTCTGGGGATGAAGCTGATTTCCTAGCCTTTGAGGAAATTCAGGCCCTTATGGTGTGACAAACTGAACTTCGCCTCTGGCTTTTGGAGGGGCCTGTTTGCCAGCCTCTTGCCCTGTGACTATGGCCCCTATAGTAAACCCTGTTTGAAAGTACTATTCATGCCTCTTGGGACTGATAACAGGAATCATTTGAACTTTCGAAATGGCACTTCGAACTCCCAAACTCCCGAAGCCATTCGAAGTGCCATTCGACCACGTGGCAAAGGCCATCTTGTTTAGTCGAACGCATCCAGCGGTGTTTGGTCCTCGAGTGCATGGAACTCAAATCGGATAATTGACGGCATGAACACCGCTAAAACTTTACCTTCCATGGATGTTCGGCTATTCGAATGGAAGTCGAACAGCATTCGGTAAGAAGATACCCCAGAACCAGTGCCGGACTGGTCCACCGGGATACCGGGAAATTTCCCGGTGGGCCGTGGCATCTGGGGGCTGCAGAACTCTTACTCCTTATAGAGAGGGAGCCCTGCAGCTGTTTTGAATAATAACGTGGCCGGCGGCATGTCGGTGCCGCCGGGTGGCTGGTCCGGCAGCACACTCTGAGGTGATTACTTACCTTGTGCCAGCGACCCCATCTCCTGTTCTGTATGACTGCTGTCAGTATCAGTGAGTGTGCCGGGCTGCCGCCTAACCGGTCCGGCTCCCTATAGAGAGTGAGCCCTGCAGCCGTTTTTAATAATAATGTGGCCGCCGGCCGCATGTCGGTGCCGCCGGGTGGCCGGTTCGGCAGCACACTCTGAGGTGATTACTTACCGCCGGTGAGTGTACCGCCAGACCAGTTAAGCGGCCCCATCTCCTGTGCTGTATGACTGCTGTCTGTATCAGTGAGTGTGCCGGGCTGCCGCCTAACTGGTCCGGCGGTACACTCAATGATACTGAAAACAGTATAGCTGTCAGCACAGGAGGACTGAGGGAGAGGGCAAAGCTAACTACCATGCTCCCTCGTGGTTCCCATAATTCCTAGCATAGCCACATTATAGAGTAGGGATTACTCTATGATGTGTAGATGCTGGGAATTATGGGACCCACAAGGGAGCATGGTAGTTAGCTCTGCCCCCTCCCTCAGTCCTCCTGTGACAAGGTCAGCAGGAACACAGAAAAAGAGGGGTAATAGAAACACAGGGGAAGGGGGGGACAAATAGAGGGGTAATAGAGAGACACAGGGGATGGGGGGACAAAGAGAGGGGTAATAGAGAGACAAAGGGGAAAGGGGGACACAGAGACTGACGGGTAATAGAGAGACACAGGGGAAGCAGGGACAAAGAGACAGATGGGGTAATAGAGAGACACCAGGGAAGGGGGGGGCAAAGAGAGGGGTAATAGAGGGGGACACAGAGACAGATGGGGTAATAGAGAGACACCAGGGAAGGGGGGACAACGAGACAGATGGGTAATAGAGAGACACATGGGATGGGGGGACAAAGAGACAGAGGGGTAAGAGAGAGACACAGGGAGGAGATGGGGAAGAGAGACAGAGGCAGGCGAGGGGGAAGAGAGACACAGGGAGGAGAGGGGAGAAAGAGACACACAGAAGGCTTGTTGGGGGACAAAGAGACATACAGAAGGGAAGGGGAACAAAATGACACACAAGGTTTGTGGGAGGCATCGCTGGGCTGGGGGAAAAAGAGACACAGAGTAGCTGAGAGAAGAGAAAGAGGCACACAGAGTCTGGAGTTAGAAAGAGACACACAGATGAGATTTGGAAGGGGAGAAAGAGACAAAGGGGCTGGGGCTAAGACATAAAGTGGCTGGGGGAAAGAGACATACAGAGGCTGGAGAAGGGTAAAAAGCAACACACAGGCAGGGACGTTTTAGCCGCGAGGCAAACAAGGCATTTGCCTTGGGCGGCATTTTCCAGGGGGCGGCAAAAAAAGCCGACCCCAACTGCCTTGCGGCTAACTGACATGCTGGGCTGGGCGAGCGGCACTGGCGAGGGAGCACTTCCTCTGAGCTGTGTGCTCAGCTCCCT